TGAGGTAAAATACCCTGTATGCTAACATGATCCAATCGTCAGTCCTTTTACTACAGTGCAGGCCGTTGTTGATTTGATGACAAATGGACAAGCAAGAACGAACTTTCAAACCAAGGTTCTCTTATTCTACGCAACGAGGTACTTGTCCTTGGACTGCTCACTTCAATATATCTCTTCGTCTCAAGAAATTTGATCATCTCGCGTATGGATAAAGTGCCTCTCACATGGCGTTGGTTAGGACTTTTCATGATGACTGTGTCAGCGAGGCCAATGAAGTCATGACGGCCGGTCAAGACTGAGTCTTGACTCTGAACCAAAAAGTCGCTCTCAATACTGTGGAACTTCCGGTTGTGCCCCAGTCCAAGCTCGTCCACTCCCCCGTCACTCGCGGTGAAAACGGTGTCATATTCGGACGCATGAGATAGACGAGGGAGAACTTGGTCTGGTCACAAGTCGGGCGGAGGCTCAATCCGGTGCAAACACGATCGAAGAGCGCTTTTCGAAAGGGCAGTCAAGGAGTCTCCCGCGTTTACGATCGCGTGCCCGGGTTCGGGAGCAATGTACCGCCAAACCTCCAGGCCTGGCATGCATACTTGTAACCCGCCAGTGTTGGAAAGACGATTGCCAGTCTCCCAAGGTTGGTATGTGCAATGTGGCCAATATTCGCGTCACTACTGCCGTAAGGCAGATACTTGAGTAGACCAAGACCTGTCGTTGATAGCTCGCACTTGCGATGGCAGTCTTTCAGGTCGCGAGAGAGCTGCAATGCCCGCGACAATATCGAGGAGGATCAGAAGACCTTGCTCGTGAATATCCCCAACAAAGTCTTCCAGAGATCCCACTTGGACGTCAGTGGCTCCGGAGCCGTCATGGGCATGTTGGGGTCGAGGTCGAAGAGCGCATTATTGGGGATCTGGGGCGTGACATCAGCGGCGCTGCCACGGCTCTGTTAGAATCGCTCATGCCATGAAGCTTTCAAATCCATCATTCTTCCCACCATACGGGCCCGTGGTCAACCCGCCGGTTCATATCTAGGACTGAGTAAGTTTTTCCGGAGCGCAAGTTAGGGATCTACAATAGAGTATCTCATTAAACCCACCCTAGTATCTTGGAAAGGGTCGGTACTATACTCTTGTTCCTTCTCTCAAAAGGGAATCAGCACAGGTCATCGGTGATGGAAAAGGTCCTATCCACGTCTTCCAGAATATTATCTGTCCGTACATTGCACAGGTCCAAGTAGAAAGCCAATGTCACAACAGGCGGAAGTGAGCTCGTTCACCGTCCCAATATCACCATCGATGAGCTTGGCAAGTGACACGGTTGGCAGCGATCCATAGTGGGCAGCGGTTTCTCATTCGCAAGTCTAGCTCAAGTGACTTGAATGCAGCACAGGGGAGGTCAGAAAAAAGATCCTTGAAGATCGTCCTCGATTAGACTGACAGTTAGGGTCAAGTCTTGGTAAGCGGCAGCTCTGCAGTTATCTCAGTATGTATAGTGATGCTCCTCGCAGAACCCGTTTGACGTTGATGGTTTCAGGACGCAGAGAGCGACACTAGTATCTTCTATCATGATTTTCACCGCCCCGGTGACAGTATTGGTATGTTGCAGTACTATCCCTGCCGGAGAAGATGAACTGATGACGGGCCAGAGATCCCAATTCATCTCCATGCGGTCTGTGTGGCGACAAGCGATGCAACTGAGATCATTGAGAGCTTATCGCCAAGCCCGGCGCAGACCGAGCATATATCAGATGGTGAGGAACTGGTTGCCTTCGGAGTAGCGCATCACTAAGAAGGTACAGATCTGCCTGTCCGGGCTCGAAAACTTCTCCCAGTACGGTCTGAACTCCCCTCACCCACAGGCCCTTTAATGAGAATTCCAATCCTGATAGATATCTTCTTAGCTGCGGCGGGGCTGGTGGTAGGGGTTGTACTTGTTGGATATGTGGACGTTGCTGGAAAGCGCATGAGACAACGGCGTCCAGACGAGGCTGAGAACGGCGAATACCAGAACTTAGCTCCGGAGGATGATGAGGAAGAATAGGGCGGCTTTGAGTGAATGTTTGAGTCAATTAACTTTGAGCACGTGGTGCGGTAAGGAGTTCCTTCCGTGATGCTAAACTTTCTAATACTTTACGCGAGGATAGGCATGAGATACCATTCCGCTTTTCTTTGAAGTTAATCATCATAATCAAGTTATATCACCATATCACCGAGGTGTAAGGCAAGCCCTCGACATATCCTAGTTTATACTCTTATAAAATGCTAGACACGTTCGCGCAACCTCAGCCCCGACTCTCACTATTCATCTGCACTGGCCTGTCTCTTCTGCTCTTTCTTGATTTTCTTCACCGATTTAGTGCTCGAGAAGAGATTAGGCAGATCGAAAAGATCATTTTTGGGATGATATTCAGGCAAAGGATCTTCTTCAGCCGCATGCTCTTCGGACCAAGCATCTGCCAATGTAAGCCGTCTAGAACAGTCCCGATCTAAAGCTTATTAACATACTCATAATTCCGGGATCCAAGGCTTGAGACCAAGCATACCTTTCCTTAGCAAAACTGCCAATTGTCCCAGACGATAAAGTTATCACTACGGTCGTAGCCCTGGCTCCAACGAAAGTTGCCGTGCGGCGTGCCGTACCAAGCTGCGCCCCATCGGCCCCGACCTCCAAGGAGTAGCCACTTATGCAGTTTACTTTGTAACCTGCCATAGTACGTGAAGAGCCCCAAGCGGCGTCACACACAAGAACCCCATCATCAAGAATCCAAGCGGCCTGGAGCTGCGGCCATTTGGCGCTAAGTATATTTGGCCAACATAGTGAAGACAGCCAAGCGTTGAAGGAAGGGCGGAGATTAATGCGAAAAGATGAGCCTTCATGGTGAATTGATGATTCTGGAAGAGGTTTGGTATAGAGGATCTATTTTTTGGCTGGAGAGGGACGACCGAAACACCGGGTATGGTGGACCGTAAAGCATATAGTAGCTTTAAGGGTCTGAGAGATGAGTGAAGACGCTGTTATTACTATAATGTATCTCATACTCGAGAGGCCTTATATATGTGGTTGTGTAGAGGTCTCTAGACCTATTCGGATCTAGAGGCTTCCTCAAGATTACGGTGACTTAGTACTTACAGAAAAACATTAGTGCTTATAGAATGATATTAGTGCTTACAGAGCAATATCAGTGCTTACAGAACGACATTAGTGCTTACAGAGCGACATTAGTGCTTACAGAACAAGGACCACTACATCTATTATTTAGCTTTCAAGGAGGAACAAACAGGTGGGCAAGTTGGCAAGTACGCAACTGAATAACGCAGGGCTTGATCAGTTCTAGCTAATGAAACTACTATATACACGCCATTCTTATGAATGCCTATGTATTATTGGTGTAGACTATGGCACTGAAGTAGCCACTAGTGTTTTTGCGCGTGACTTCATATATGCAGAAAGCAGGGACAGTTCATAGGCAGAAAGCAGATCATAGGCACATCTGTCTAGGTACAGTGCATTCCTTGTCTAATAGTGGTACTAACATGTCTCTTCCATCAACAGCACCCTCCAGGGGTCAAGCCATGAAAACATCACAAATGAGGCTACCAGACACCGCCTTCAACTTACCACTAACTACACATCCTTAAACATAAAAAGCCCTGGCTCCTTCATTCTGTGATGTCTGTATTTAATAGCAGTCACGTTTTGACTGCTGTCAGGGGGAGAATCTTGTCATGATAAGGCTGCTGTTATGATAAGACATTAAGAGTATTAAGACTACTTTGAAGTCGAAGGTTGCGCGGATACTTAAGGTTAGGATAGCGAGGTCGCAGGGCTGTCGCGACTACCTTCCATATAGGCAGATACGTGAGATATATTACAGGTAAGAGGTTGGCTTACCAGAATATGCCATGAATGAGGTAGCCCAACCATCTAACTACCCGATAGCCAATCGCCTCCACAGTTCCCATAAATGTAGCATCATTTTCTACCTAGCCCTACCTAATAATAATCCTCGCCCTTAGAGAGGGCTGTCACCGACCCCTTGGACCCGAACGCCGCATGCCTATGTCGCAGATTTGCGCCCTCGACCTCCCCAAACTGCAGCCGAACCTTATCAATATCCCCCTCAGCGGCTCGAATCCCAAGCAATGGCCGACGGCCAAGCGGTCCAGCTCCGGATTCCGAGTCGTCATCAAGACACTTGAGAACGAGTTGTTTTGGGGGACGCCGTTTCGTCGCAGGGCGAAGAAGCCGACGACGACGCACGCAATCGTGACAGCCAGCGCACTCATGTAAGCCGCTAGCAGGACCGTACTGCCGTAGAAATAGTAGTTGCGGTTGGTCAAGTCCATTACTTTGACGGTGGAGTTTCCGCCATTAAGGCTGAGCAGGGTGTAGGTGAAATTGTGGCTGAGGTCCTCGATGGCCTGGGCCAAGGTTCCGTTCCGGCACGAAGTTTTAGTGGAGTCGTTGCCATGTTTATAATAATAGCTGCTGGTGTTCCATAATTCTGGACAGGCAAAGAGGCTGGTGTACGCAAGTGACGTATCGGTGTATGTCGTCGAAGATGCAACAGTCTTATCCTGATACACTCCGGCTCTCTTACTCTGAACCAGTTCGCCTTGGAGAAGACCCGAGAGGATCATCTGGATTATGTAAAAGCCTGCATTCACTGTTGGATCTACTTCTGAGTATGAAGGCGCTGCGAAGTTGATAGCAGCGCTTTCATTCCAATTGGCATAGGCGATGTGGTCGACTGAGATTGGCGTCAGCGTCTGAATGCCGTTGGTGAAGTGCATGTCGACTACGTAGGAGGTATTCCAGAGCTGGCAGACAATCTCAGTGGGCTGTGTGGCGTTGTCGTTCCACAGCGGATTGCTGCCTGCAGCTGATATGAAGACGGTATTGTTGAGATCCGAAGGTGCAGTCCCCATGTAGAGCCTCGTTGTCTGGAACTGCGGCTCTGTGATTTCGCTATCCCACAGTTTCTGCGTCACCCCGTCTATCTCCATGAGAGCTTCACTCAGTCGCTGGCATTTGTACGAAGGACCCCAGAATGAGAGATTGTAAGACGAGTTGGAGAACGGTGCAGGAACTGGAAGCACTTGGGCCGATGAGGCCAAGGTTGTGAAGACGCGGGCCATGCTGGCAGATGGGGAGGTGATGTGCCACGCCTCATCGAATTGTGCCTCATTACGCCAGAATGATGGGTCGAAGTTAACGTTTGGAACGAGCCGCTCGATCTCATCCCTGGCTGGATATGTAACCACGTTCAAAGTTGCGGGCGTAACGATCGCCGTCAGAGGAATCAGCCTGGTCGGATCGAGAATCAGTCATAGGCTCACCACGAGTCATGGAGGTGCACATACCAGGAAACAATCGCCAGCACGGTCAGCGTCTTTGCATAGACCCACAAGTCCAGGGTGAGAAGAGCAAGAGGGCTGTCCCGGACGGCAAACATGCTATCAATCCCACTGAGCCGGACGCTCTTCCGGCGGAGGGTGGCCCAGGTCTCCTGCACCGCTGCGAGCCCAACGGCGGACGCCAGGCATGATTTGATCAAAAACGCGAAGCCAGTTCCGATCCGGATCGCCCACGTCTGTTCCTCGCGAGACGCGACACGACCGCCGTCGAGGCTCCTGTAGTAGAAATGATGACCCATGGACAGCATCGCACCGGATATGACGAGCCCGACCATCAGGGCCGGATGCCTCCATCCAATGCCCCATGTCGCCGGTGTATCCGTCTCTTGGACTGGCGCTGGCACTGGCGACTGGGGTTGTTTGTCCGGGACCGTGCGATCATACGTTGGCGGAGACATATTATATTGAGGTGCCCGGACAAGAGCGGACTCTGGCCCCGTCGGGAGACAGAGGCCCGTCAGCCGCTCTTATAGGAAACGCGGCTCCTGAGAGAGCTGAGAATTAGCAAACCCTGTCAAGTTGTTTGTGGGCCATGGCTGAGCCTTGCCTGCAGGATCCTTTGCTTTGCCGCCTTCATTCTGCCTATCAGTGCCGTTTTCATTGGCTTTATTTCAGCGAGGGACGAAAGCGGGCCATTTATGGCCTCTGGATGTCAAGAAGCAATGTAGAGCAGGGGCTGGTTTTCAGCCCACCATTACTAGCAGGCGCTGTGAGCCGGGATCGGCAGTGCACTTTCCACTATGGGAAAGGCACAGATAGCTGAAGCTGAAGCGACCTGCTGTTAGTGCTGACTGTGTTGCCCATCGCTCGATTTGAATCGCCCGCAAGACCGCGCTAACCGGTTGGAGGGTCGTTTGCGATACTTTGGGCCTCGAGGCTCGAACATCCATGCTGAGCCAGCCTTTTCAATCAGTGTGCAACGTTGCGGGCAGTAGCACTAGACAGGGCGGGGAAGTGAGAAGTGCTGGTTCACGATATCGGGAAAGAACAAGGACTTGAACAAGATCAAGCATGACAGGATGCATACTCTTTTTTTTCAGACGGGCAACACCACAGACCGCGGGGTCCTGCCCAATTGCTCCTCAAGTGGACCCTGCAAAGTTGCAATAGGTCGAATCATCCCAAAGCGCTGCCAAGCACCGGCCAGGCACAGAATACGAACTGTCCATTCAAATTGATCTCCCTGGGATCGTAAGTAGTTTTCACATTTTTCATATTCCAAGTTCATCTAATCAAGCGCCAGTTTTGTTGGTCGGATAACAATGTCTGACCGTGGAAATGGAACTGTCAAATGGCTCCATGATGAGAAGGGTTACAGTTTTATAACCCGCGACGTGGGGGGAGATATATGTGTATCCTCTCGCCAAATTGAAACAGCTGGTTTCAGATCTCTTAAAGAGGGATAGAGGGTCAGTTTTAAAGCAGTTCGGGGTGCAAGAGGCTAGCAGGCAAATAACGGTCGGGTAGAACAGTAGGGAGTCGTACTACGAATTCAGCAGAAAAGCAGGACGAGCAAAGAAAGCAATAAATGCTTCGAACTGTAAATGGTACCCATACACAACTTATACCACCAGAATTTATTTCTTTTTTATTATGTATTATTTCTTTTTCTTTTTCGGAGGCTTCTGCAAGTGGTGGCATGATATAACCATATTTTCCAGGCGAGTGGTCCACCTAACTAAGTGGTCCACCCTGTCACACCCTGGGATCCGTCTCTACTGTTCTCTGCTAGTCAACTACTTTGGGAACGGGGTGATATAGTCCCTGGACTATATCCAATACTTGCCTGAGGCCTACTGACTGGGTAGCCTAATGATGCAACAATACAATGATCTGAATAGGATTAAGGATAACCAAAGGTAACACAAGAATAATAATAGTAGAGATAGAAGCAAGGCCTATTAAGTATGTATACTTAATAGTAAAAGAGTAACTAATAAATCAGACTAGTGAACTTATACTTAAGTAAATAACTTGTATTAAATATAAGGAACTAAGCTAAGAGTGCTAGATATAATAATAATAAACATCCTTATATATCTATAGTTCCTCTCAATGGTATACTGAATGGTATGTTCTAAGTATAAAGGTGGTAGATTATATACTCTTATTCTAAGGTCTTAGTATACTATTTATATACCACTTCATCATGTGCTTGTGGTTGTAGAATAACTATTTAGTTATATCCTACTATATGGTTTTTCTATAAGGATCTATCTAGATTAAGCATTTCTCCAGATCACTCTGTAATCCTTTCTAGATTAATTAGTGATTGATAATCCCCTTTAATTCTGCCTATCACATCTGCCTTATACTAATATAGCTATGTTAGTATTATAACATTACCTCCCCTCTTCTAGTATTTCATCCTTAAAACTTGATTTAAAAGGCAGCGCTTCCCCAGGTGAGTAATATCTTATTTCTATTTCTTTTTATTATATTTGCCTATTATGCTAAAGTATCATGCTGATACCTCATCTAATAGTCCCTATAAGCTTCCCTGTGATTATCCTGCTGTTTATATTAAGTAAGAGGAGTATATTTATTATAATAGGTTTATCTTATCTTCTTTATGTAAGTATTATTTGTTATTAGGTTAGGAGTATATAATAGATTAAACTTATTATTATCTATTACTTACACTCATCAGGGCTATTTATGCAAAAAGGAATTTCATACTATAAAAGAGTAGGATATTTTAAAATAAGTAGAGGACAAGATAGCTAATAATATTACTAAGGCAGATACTACACTTAAGCTATTATAACCTAAGTTAGAGCAGCTTTAGGCTCACCTAGCTAAGGTTTAATTAAAAATTATCATGACCTTGGCTCATTATTCTTGCCTTTAAAAATAGTAATGTTTTCTTAAAGAGTGTGGTTTTAAAATATTAGAATATGATGCTGAGCTGCTGCAGATCTTAGATAAAAAGAAGTTATCTAATCAGCCTAATCCTGCTGCTAAGGTTTAACAGCTAGCTGTGACTTCTGATAATCCTAATTTTAGTTAGATAATAGTAGAGATTAATTAGATGCCCCCTCCTTCTAGGAGAACTTTGATTTCCCTTTAAATAGTACTATTAAATAAGTTAGTGGCAGCCTGTTAGGTTCTTAATAGGCTCCTATATATTTTCTAAGGTATTATAGCCTTTCTATCTTATAAGGTAGTATAGCTTTCTACTAACTTATTTATAGTTTAGAATTTATTTAACTTTATACTCTTATTCTATGTTATTATTAATTTCCATATTTTTAGTAATTTTTGTATTTTCTGGCGCTGGTTCTAATAATAAGATATAAAATACTAGATGAACTTTTAACATGCTCTTTAGTAGTTATAGTTAATAGTTAACTAGTCCTAATTTTTCTTTAATAATAAATAGTCTAATTTTCTAATAGTCTAATTTCTAGCTTAGTCTTTTAGTTTTAATATTTCTATATAGTAGGTAAACTTTCTCCCCTCTTTTTAAGTCTAGAGCACTCCTATACTTCTTATTATAGTAAATTACTATGCAGAGGTTTATAAATTTAATATCCCTTAAAAGTTAAGTCCTTAAATAATTAATAGTATCTACTATTTCTATAGCTTCTTCTATAGTGGGTACTTTATTCCATGGTTCTCTAATTAATATAGGGTTATATCTATAATTTATAAAGAAAGGTATTTCCCCTGTTATTAAATAAATAGTGTTATTATAGGTATATTACACTATTAGTAGGTAAACTACCTAATTATTTTATTAGTAATTCATGTAGTGTTATAGGTATTATTTAACTATCTAATTTATCTATTCAGTTTATCTGTTAGCTTATGGATGATATATGGTTGTAAGTCTTTACTTAATTCCTATTAAATCTATTAATAATTACTAAAACTTTAATATGAATAATTTATCTCTATCTAATATAATATATCATGGCATTCTGTAATTAATAATTATATATCTTATAAGTAGGCTTGCTAATTGTAATACTATTATATTTATTATTATTAGAATTAAATAGATAAATTTTGTAAGTCTATTAATGACTATTATTAGGTAATTATACCCTTTTAACTTTGGTAGTGGTCTAATAAAGTTAATAGTAATCTATTCTTATAGTTATTTTAGTGCTTCTGGTGATTATATTTTACTATAAGGCTGGTGCCTAGTAGGTTTATCTCTAATATAAGTTTTATACTAATAGATATAGCCCTGTACTTTCCTTCTTATATTTAGAAAGTAGTAATTCCTTAAAATTACTTTAGCTATTTTTTCTATACCTATATAACCATGCATTAGGTCATCATGGTGTTTTATAATAATCTTAGTCCTTATATACTTAGGTATATAGATAAGTCCTTAGAAATATATTATTCCTCTATTATCTGTGGTAAGGTGTTTATTATCTACTAAATTTTTAAATATTTCTTAAATTATTTTATCCTTCTTAGTTACTTTAATAATTTTCTAAATAAGTAGGTCCTCTTATAGTTTAATCATTGCTGTAAGAGTTTGGTAGTTATATATTAGTAACCTATCCTCTTATTACTTTAATATTACTAGTTTAATCATTTTTCCTTAGAGTTTATAATCTGGTTATTAACTAAGCATGTTAGCTTGCCCATTTTCTATTCCCTTATAATGCATAATCTTGAAGTCATACTATAAGAGTGTCTTAGCCTATCTAGCTTATCTTCTTATCAGTTCTTTTATTATTATGAAGAATGTGAGGTTCTTATAGTCTATTTTTATAGTGATAGTATACTTAGCTCCCTCTAAGTAGACTCTCCAGACTTTAAATACTACTACTATAGCTAGCAGTTCTTTATTATAGATATTATAGTTAAGTTCTGCTTAAATTAACTTTCTTAAGTAGAATATAACTAGTTATAGTTTTCTATTATCTCCTGATTAAGTCATCCTCATCCTGATTACATAATCTAATATGTTGGTCTTAATAGTAGTTAGTTTTTCTGGGTTATATTACACTAGGATTAGTGCCTCTATAATTTATTTTTTTATATTAATAAAGGCTTCTTCACATCCTTCATCCTATTTAAATTCCTTTACTTTCTTAAGTAGCACAAAGAGTAAATGTATAATGTTAGCATAACTAGTAATAAATTATTAATAATAGTTAATAAGTCTAATAAATTATTGGACTTCCTTAATATTCTTTAGTTAAGGCTATTTAATAATTATCTTAATTTTGTTCTAATCTATGTAGATTCCTTCTGTGGAGATCTAGTGTCCTAAGAACTTAGTCTCTTAGATATAGAATTTATATTTTTTTAATTTTAGCTTAATATTTACCTCTTAAAGCTTCTTTAGTACTTAGCTAATATATTCTATATATTCCTTTTCTTCCTTTAAGAAGATTAAGATGTCATCTAAATAGGCTATTATAAAGAGATT